GGAATTACAAAATCCTCATAACACGTTTCACAGAATCTCATTTATTTAATTCACAAATCACATCACTATAATTGTTTGATTAAAATCCAGGATCCTCAAATTATAACTCTTTCACTGATGTATACAATCAAGCCGGTACATTCCCGTGATCCTGAGGAAAACCTGAAACACATAACACATAACACGGTAAGCACGAAGCTTAGTGAGTCCCCCAAAATACCACACACATCTCATTAGCCAGTCGAGGCTAACTCGAAATGACCCTCCGGTCAATGTGTTCCAGTGGAGACCCTCCGGTCCCACAACTTGGGTGGACCCTCCGGTCCTAACTCAGCAAAGCATAATCACAATCATAGCATAATCACAAAGCATGATGTATAATAAATAGCACATAACTCAACGTAAGCACATATAACAACATTTACACTAAATTACATAACAGCATAAGTCACAAAGACAGTATGCACAATAATCATTATCACAGAATAACAATGATACCCTCCGGTCAATAATGAGGACCCTCTGGTCCAATATCTCTATAAAGACCCTCCGGTCACACATTAACTACTACTCAGTTATGTATAGTGAGAAGACTCACCTCAACAGCAAGCAATTATTCCCGTACTCGAATCCCGAACTAGCCACCGCCTAACACAAAGTAATTATCACAATAAATACTCGATTCTCGACTCTAAGTAGACCAAAGGTCATTCTTCCTCTTTCTAACTTTTGAAGTGGGTAAAAGACCATTTTACCCCTCCAAGGTCTCCATTACTCGTGTTAACCAAACCCTAAAGTCAATAGAAGTCAAACTCGAGTCAACAGCCCCTGATTGAACCGACTCGCCGAGTACACCCATGTGACTCGTCAAGTCTACTCGTTTTCTTCAGAAGGTTCGTGAAGGTCCAGCTCTGCTCGTCGATTTGACCCCCAACTCGACGAGTTATCGCATAATCCAGCCCACCGGGACAAACCCTAACCAACTCGTCGAGTCGGCTCACAGACTCGGCGAGTTCATTCAGACCCATTACTCATCCAGACGATTCAAAACAGATCTATCACTCCAAACACTAGATCTATCATCTCAAGCCTCAAATGTCATGTAAAGCTTCGATCTTTACGTTCATGCATGATGTTTTTGCTCCAAAATGCCAATACATACTCTTCATGAATGATTAAGCCCAAAAACCCTCATATAGATGAATAAAGTTGGGACACCTAGACTCTAGGGACCTCACAAGGTCCAGATCTGAGGTCTAGACTTCTTGATAACTCATTCTACTCAAAGACCCAAACAAAAGATGGTAAAAAGCCCTAAAACTCCATAGATATGAGATCTAACCAAAATAAGAAGAAAGGTGAAGACTTCTTACCTTCCCCAGGAGCTCTGGACAGAAAATCACTGGATCCAATAGCCTCACTTCCTGCTCCTTGCTTGATAACCTTCCCTCTTCCTCAAATGATGCACTAAGAACCTCAATTTGAGCTTCTCTCTCACTCTCTAGCTCAAATAGCAATTAGGGTTTGCTCTTGGGGGTGTAGGGTAACTGGTGAGGTGGAAATGGGGCATAAGTTCCCTTAAATAGGCCACGGGCCCGAAGGTTTAGGGTTTCCTTCAGCAGTGCTGACTCGGCGAGTCGACTCACAGACTCATCGAGTCAGCTCATTAATCCATGTCACCCAACGCGACTCTAATCGACGAGTTGAGGCACCAACTCGTCGAGTCACCCATGCAAACTTATTATTACATATAGAAATGCTATACCTCGGAACCAGGATGTTACAATTCTCCCCCACTTAATTTGATTTCGCCCTCGAAATCGCTCCTTAGCATCACATAGATCAAAATCCAATAGCCCGAGAAGCACCACCAAAGAGGATTTCATACCACTCATATATCTTTCTCCATGGACACCTGAATCCAACCAGGAACTCGCAAACCCGGAATAAGACAGACCCTTCTGCTGCTACGATACCCCTTCTGACTCTCCAGACTCTGGAAACTCTAGTGGCTTGTCCCACGGCCAGACCGCCCTCTCAAGATGTCGCCATGTTATTCGTTCCTTGAATAACGGAACCCGATAACTCACTGCCCCTCTGATTCTCTCGTTGCGACTGATAGAACAAGTCAATGTCCAAAATTGGCTATCGATCACTCATACCATACATATTAAACAATCCAGCTCATACACCAAGGAATGAAAGGATCACGTCACACCAGGGACCCCTCCACTGTACTGCAATCAAAACCCATCTGAACCATGAATTCTCAACACCCTGTCCTCAGGCACAATCAAAAGATCATGCTTTCTTAAAAGTATCCTCTGACACCTAACAATCATAAACATCAGCTCCCGACTCAAATACCCCTTTTTATCACTGAGCACCAGGTCATCTCTCAACCCAACAGTTGAAACTCCAAAGTTTACCCATTGCATACCTCAAAACATCTCACTGACTTCTTTCTCACAATAACTATATCGGCCTATTATGACACACAAGTCAAGAAGTTTGTCTTACCACAAGCGAATACTACAACCCCACTGAAATCGTCTCACCCTCGACCTCTGTCGTCTGCTACTCATTAGCTCCATATGTCTCGCGGTCCTTCTCATACAACCGAACTGACCCATACAGGTCTAAGACATCAGGTGACACCCAATACCCTCCAAAAAGAACCCACCCCTAAGTCCCGAATCTCACTTCGCCTTTATAGTACCCACTAGTGTCAACTCAACTCGAGAGTCTGATTCAACCACAGCATCTGGAACCACTCATTTCCAATCTAGTACTCAACTCAAGACCCAAGATTCGCGAATTCATGCACACCCCATCTCTACAATCCCTCCCGGTCACGATGAACCCTTCTCAACCCTGGATAACGATTCTCGACCGACACGGAGACCCCAGTCTCACCCCTGGTACGACAACCAGGTTCCCACAGACTCAAATGATAAGGCTACCCAAGCCTAAGAACTCCTCTGCATCATGCTCTGATTAGTGAATACTACGGCTCCCCGTAGATTCACAACGCTTCTCTCTTACTTGTTGGCTAAAGAAAAATATGTTTCCTCCGCAATTCCACAATATTCTCTCGCTGATCAGTGAAAACTACGGCTCCCCGTAGTTTCACAACGCTCCCTCTCTGACCAGTGAAAGCTACGGCTCCCCGCAGTTTCACAATGCTCTCTCGCTGACTGGTGGATACTACGGCTCCCCGTAGTATCACCACACCCTCTCGCACTAACTCATGGATGCTACAGCTCCCTATAGTCTTACATCACTTTCTCTTACCACTCCACGATCTCATCCTAAGGCACCTCCTTGATCTCTTCCATCTTAGACCCACAACGACTTTTATCATGGTATAAGAAATACCTCGTAGCCACCATACTGCACAAAATACTCTAATGGAAAGGTCGCAACTCATTGCTCCCCCACGGGGTTTCCCTCCAAACTCTGAAATCGGTACCACTATAAAAACAGCCTTTTACGACACGCAATGCGTGTCGTAAAACGCTCAGACGACGCGCAAATGCGTGTCAAGGAAGGCCCTGTCATAACGAGTGACGGCACGCTTTTGCGCGTCATCTATAGACGACGTGCATTTACGACGCGCAATTACGACGCTCATTTACAACACGCAATGCGTATCAAGGAAGGCCTTGTCATAGAGGAAGACGACACGCATTTGTGTGTCGTAACCTTACGACGCAAGTTTACGACATACAATGCCTATCATTAAATCCCCTGTCAAAAAGGAAGATGAGACACATTTTTGCGTGTCATAATCTTAAATGTTTCAAAAATATATATATTTTTATAGATTTACTAATTTTCAAATTAAATTAACATTTAATGTCTCATAATACAAAATAAAATATCATATATAAAAATACAATCCATTGCACAAAATTAAATGTCATACCAATAATCGTTTCAGTAGTAATAAATGTAATATCAAGTGTGAAGGAGATGAAAATCATCAACAAATAATAATACAACCACAAGAACTTGGTCACCACCTTCACAAAATCCGAGCTACTTTGCTTGACATTACGCACATCAACAGGACCTGTAAATTTGAATCATGCAACCATTAGATTCACATATTAAGAAATCCAAGTATACTATGTTATTTCTTACATTTAACCTTCTTATATGTAATAAGATGAAATGAATGTAGGATGCTATAATAAACATTCATATATAGCTTAGTAGATTAAGACTAGTCCACATTTAGTCTATTAAGTAAAATAAAAAAGAAACAAGACTTCAATTATAAGCATGAGTATGGGTTAGAAACCTCTACCACCATAAATGCCTGAGTTTTGAAGCTTTCCCCTGTATCCGAAACACAAATTGTATAAAAAAAACATCATATTAAGTTGGCATCCACATCAACCAAATTATCTATTTATCGTGCAATCAGTTGCTAACTTGCTATATACAATATATAAAATGTTTAAAGAATGAAAGTTTTAACTAATAGTAAGAAAACAAATAACAAAATGAGGTAATAAGATAAATATATGCAAGTGAAGCACCAAAATAAGATACTTACCTTATAATTAATATGAGAAGGTGGAAGTAAGATAGACCTCAAGAAGAAACAGTCTGATAGGCATCTGTAACCAGCTAATCTGATGATCGCAATCTATAAGTTGTAGACCAGATACTGGAATCATTGGAAGGGGATCGCCATTGGAGGAGGTGGAAGATGGGAGTGAGGAAGGCATCTGCAGTGAAGGAAGTAAAGGGTGTGATTCTTTTAATTTGGTTTTGGTCAACTACATGGACCATTTGTGTAATTTACTATTACAAATGTAATTAACTATAAAATACTCAAACTATTACAACATCAGGTTCGAGCTCAAACACTGTTATTACTTATTATGATAAAATTATTTGAGTTTGAGCCAAAAATTCATATATAAAACTGAGCACAAATTTCCTACAAATAGACTCGGCTACACTTGTTGATACTGCCCCATACCTAATTAAGCAGAGTTCCTTGCTGTGCAACTGGACCAGTATTCAGCTACAAGCTTGGAGAAGAAAGAATCGGTAGTCTCCATTAGCTTCAAAGGCTCATCATACTCCACCATTTTCCCTAAACATCAACAACCTCAATTAATTAGTTTTTATTTCCTTTTAACATATGCATATATAGAAAAGAGGAGCATACGTACCGAATGAGAGGACCATGACCTTGTCACTGTCTATGACTGTTGGAACTCTGTGAGCGACAGTTATGACAGTGCAAGTCAAGAATTCATCCCTTATGATTTTCTGTAGGATGGCATGATAAGTTTTGATTTACCAAAAACACAATCACTAAACCCCGGTCAAAAAAGTTAATAATAAAAGCTCATACAAAAAAGGGCCATTCCATTCTTTCATACTAAATAATACCTTAAACTCTTTCTGTATTAGATTTGTTTGATATTCGTATAGTTAAGGTCGACTCACCTGAGGAATCCAGCAAATGTGGAAGATTCATGATGGTAGTTTTAAGTTGACACTTGTCTAATGCCTGGAAATCCATTAAAATAACCATGTTAAGAATATTAATTATTGCATACAAAACAAGTAAATAAAGATGATATATATTGATGATTTGGTTACCTTCCATATGTCACCATCAGAGTGAAGTCCTAGAGGGTCCAGGTTTGTTCGGATGCTGCCCTTAAAAAGGGTTGTTTCTTGGGGGATGACACTGAGTTTTATCCTGAGATCTTTAAGGCCAATTGAGGAAATGTCAAGCCCATCAATAAGGATCCGACCACTATCAGCTTCAACCAAACGGAATAAGGTTGTTATCAGTGTTGTCTTCCCACTTCCTGTCCTTCCAACAATGCCTACTCTTCTTCCTTCTTCAAATGTGCAGTTGATACCTTTCAGTACTAGTGGTGCATTTGGACGATACCTCAATTGCAACCACAAATGAATGTATTAAATATGATTACCACATGCTAGCCAATAACTTGTTGCTGCCTGAAGAGCAACAAAACTAGATAGACTCAGTACACACAAAGACAAGAGGCATAATCCTATTGAGATGACAATGTAATATAAGAATGGTTTCCATCCAACATTCCCAATCTCCTTCTCTAATAACATCCATTTGATTTCAACAAGTTGAAAACTTACATTAAAGAGAGTTGCTGTTGTATGTGCATCTACAACACTGAAAGGGTCATCAAGAAGATATATGTCAGCATCATTGTAAACTGCTCGAGCAAGTTCAATCCTCTGTTTCTACACAATCTTTGTATATAGTAATTCCTTACAGAATCTTGTCTAAAGCCTGTGTTGCCACAGGCTGAAAAAGCATATCAGGTACCAGATCTGCATTCCCATGTTGGCTCGAATTTTTCTGCATCACATTGACAAACAAGTACAACAAAAAGTAACTGCCTGCACAAATTACTAAATTGCCCTTTTTCATTTATAAACTGCAATGCACCGATGCATACCTTCTCACGATAAGGAGAGAAATCGGTTGGAGGCCTTGACGAAGAGTTTAGTGAAAACTTCAAGGTAGATTCTAGAAGCCAACGTAAACGAGACAAACCCTAGAAAACAAAGTAATGGTCATGTTATTGATAGTAAATGTAAATCCAAAGCAAGATACATTCACTAACAAACACAAAAGCCTTTTATCTTATACCAAAATAACAATACCCAAGTCCCATAAGAAAAAAAAAGTGAGCCCACACTGAAGAGGACCAAGGGTAAGAAGGTAAATATTGTATGGATACACAAACAGTGCAAGTGGATACTAGCAATAAAAGATGGCAATGAATCTTACAGATTCCAGATCCTTCCCATCAAGAGTGATGATATTGGAAAGCTCTTGAAGTAGCCTCATATCAAGACCAAAACTATTGTTATCATTTAAAGGCAGAGTATCAAGCCAACACTTGAAGCCAGAAAGTAGGCATAACATGTTAGGGTTCATTATGCAACAACTAGATAGAGCACCAAAAAGAGAAGCATGGTCATTAGACCCAACATTCCTTTCCATCTTATCCTTTTCGTAATGGAACTTACTCGAAAGCACCTGCAAAATTAACAACATAAGCTTCCACTTTTTATCATTTCAAATCTTCGTATACAGAAGAGAAAAATGGCAATTTCATGCATGATAATACCTGATACATCTCCTCCAACTGATTTAAAATATCATTGTCGTCATCATCTACTTTGCTCATGACAAATGCAGACATGCAAACACCTTCATACAGAAAAAATAATAGTTCATCATGAATGTACAAAATGCTTCTAGATAGATTACTACATTATGTAGCATACAAAAAGTAGGAAAATTTACAACCAAAAAGTGTTAATACTTTACCTTGCATGGCAAGAAAGCGTAGTTCAGGATTGGTAGCAACAGCAGCCTCAATATAACCTTTATAGGCTACAAAAACACATGCAGAATAAATAACAATAATGATAAGAATAGACTTGTAGCAATTACAAGAAAAAAATAAAGATGTACCTAATTCCTGCAAGTTGATGTTTTTTATCCAAATTGAATGACAAAGATTGACAAGTTGTTGTTGCTTTCTATATATCTCAACAGAAGAAGGTGAATACGAATGACCACCATATGCCCACAGCAATGACCTCTGTGAACTCAAAGACCAAGAAAGAACTCTTTACAAATTCTTCATTTCATCCTACACAATATTTTAAGTCCATACTTAGAAAAATGTGAATAAGAAGATTAAGGGTGAAGTGGTTTAAGATTAAGAAAGACTACCTAAAAATTTTCCACTTCGTTTGCACAAAACTCCTTCAGCTTTTTAACATCTTTCACCAAAGACCTCCATGAAAATTTTCCACTTCGTTTGCACAAAGCTCCTTCAATCTCGTTTTCTAGATTTGTCAGACCATCTGATGATAGACTCATGCCTGCTGCTAGGTCGGAATGTTCAGATGGAGCAGAGTTAACCCTGCCTCCAGCGGCAGGAATGCAAGGGTTAGTTAACCTAGCCACGACTTGAGGTTCGGGAGTGGTGCTTCTAGACAAAGAACCACCGAGTGCAGCTGCGTAAGTAAGAGAAGCTGATCACATCGCGTGAGGATGGTTTGGGCTCGAAACGTAAAGCTTACATCAAAATCAGATCTTGGTGAAGACCAAAATATGCAAAGAAATAGTGTGTTCGTCGCCCCTTACGTGTCTTGAACCAGGAGCGAGGGATGAGATGGAAATACGAGAGTGAGATAGAAAAAATTAGGATCGGATTTAGGAACCCTAAATCATCGGCTCAAATTGATAACTGGGAGGTAAGAGCCCTAAATCCTCAGCTCATTAGGGTCGAATTAAGAGTGTAAGAACTTGTTGGAACCGAGAATTAGTTTTTTGGTGGAGGTGATGGATCGAGGAATTGAGGAAGCTGTGGATGAAGACGAAGGCCTTAGGTTTTTTCTTGCTAATTCGAAGAGGCGGGGAATTTTTGGGATGGATAGGCGGGGGTTAACTTTTCGGATTTCATTTTTCCCCCTAAAAACGCGTGTTTCATTAAAAAAATATAAAGCGACACACTTACATGACGCACATTTTTTGATACGCGCCCTCCGTATTTCTTTTTTTTTTCTTTTCTGACACTAATTTTAGGGCACGCCAAAATACGTGTCCTCTATCCTTCAAATTTTGGAAAACTGACATTAATTTTTAGGGCACACACAAATGCGCGTCCTCTATCAGTGTGTGTCATTAATTGCGCGTCGTAAAAGGCTATTTTTCTAGTAGTTCGGAAACTCGCTATCTCTTTTGCCTCCTCCTCCCAGGAAACAGGGACAACGCACTCTTGTCACAAAAGGTGACGCCTCATCTATCGGTCGATTGCTCAACGCAGACCGCGATCCTTCATAAGCATCATCTCTACTCATCCCTGAGTCTTGCGACTCCAACTGGCATCTCACCCATGAAATCTTTCGAAAACTAACTCGAATTCCTCCTTTAAGGTATGCTCCATTTGAGGCTCGTTCAACCTGGCCCTCTGGCCCCACACTCTATCAAATTTGATCTCGATCTAATCAATCACAATGGGATATCTGGTAAAACCAGAAGCACTAACCACCACAAATCATGATACTCGAACCATGCAATCATCCCTCAACCTGCTACGAATCATGGTACCCGATCCATGTTATATGCTCTTACTCTGCTATCTAGAACCTCTGGAACTCTCCCTGTATCGAGTATGGGTCCTCTGCTTTCAGTAGTACGGGCCCATACTACCTGCCACATCTACCCATACTTTCCACATTGATCATTCCAGATTTCCTAAATAGTTGCTCAACCTTCTCGATCACCAATCCCGTTAAACCTGGTCACTCCCCAGCGAATACTACTCATCTAACAAAGGTCGCTCCGTAGGCCCTTCCAAGATTCTCACACTTCTCTGCCATCAACTGCTGAAGAACTCCTAATGATGCCAGCCTTCTACCTCCTGAATATCGTCATATTCACTTAGTAGCTGACTCCCATCATCAAGAGTTCCACAAAGCACGAAGCAAGCAGCATTCGGGCATCGAATAATCTCCACTAACACGTAAAACCTCTCTAGGTTACCCTCTATTTGCTCTACTCACACTCAGAAAGTATCATTGAACTCGAGCAACTCTGCCCCTCATGGGTACCTAACTCTTCTCCTAATAAGCTCCTCCAATGCTCATCTAGATATCTCTCCTAGATTACTCCTCGACTCAAAGTTCCCTCTAAAAGGTTCCTGCTGGATACTCTTAATCCGCACATACTCAAAGCACCTCACAAATAGCAAAACAATTCCTAGGCTAAGGCATCACAAATCAGGCAACTCTTGCCCTAAAATATGAGATACATAGCCTATCTTCTAGCATGCATTACCAATATCTCAATAATAAATCATAACACAAATAAGTAAGGGTATTTTAGGAAATCACCATTCGGGCTCTGGCTGATTGTACACACTGCTCCTTCCCGTTTTTCTCTTAGACACTCTTGCTCGTTTTTAGAAAAATCATTTCTTTGAAAAAAAATTTCTCAAATCCTCAGTTTGAGTCCAGACATACCTGAAGGTGCATCTGAATCCCTCAAACCAAGGCTCTGATACCAACATGTAACACCGTGAATTTTCAAATAAAATTTTCATTTAGAATTACAAAATCCTCATAACACGTTTCACAGAATCTCATTTATTTAATTCACAAATCACATCACTATAATTGTTTGATTAAAATCCAGGATCCTCAAATTATAACTCTTTCGTTGATGTGTACAATCAAGCCGGTGCCTTCCCGTGATCCTGAAGAAAACCTGAAACACATAACACATAACACGGTAAGCACGAAGCTTAGTGAGTCCCCCAAAATACCACACACATCTCATTAGCCACTCGAGGCTAACTCGAAAGGACCTTCCGGTCAATGTGTTCCAGTAGAAACCCACCGGTCCCACAACTCGGGTGGACCCTCCATGTAACACCCTATTTATTAAATAAATAAAATAGATAAAAATTAATATGAATTGTAGCCCTAAGATCCATAATAGTTATCTGGGTGTTGGTTTCGGGGAGCCAAATGATATAAATTGGGTTTTCGGGGGTTAAAGTGTAAATTCAAGATTTATTCTGTAAAGATTTTAGAAGTTGGGGGCTGTTTGGTAAAATTTGGGCTTAGTTTGAAAAGGATATGGTAAGGAGGGACTGGTTTAGACAAATTTGTAGGAAGTTTGGGTGGGATACGGGACTTAAACCCGGTGTATTCTTTCCCTCCCATATTTGGACGAACAAACCCTAAACCTAAAACAACACGCAGCCGCCACCTTGTGCTCTTCTCCAGCTGCCGCCCTCACTTCAACGACCTCCGCCGCCGCCATCCCTTTTGGTTGTTGTCACCGCTGTGCGTCGCAGCTGCCATCTCCTCCGGCGGAAGCAAGTCGACGACATAGGAGTCGGGTGTGCCTGTTGTCGTCTTCCCGTCACTTTTCTTCTCCTTCTTTCGTTCTGTCGCTGCTGCTATTCGCAGCCAGAGTTGCGACTTCTTCTTCTCCGTTTTTTTCGGTGATACATCTCAACCACGACCGCCGCCGCCGCAGCTCCGAGTGGCTGCCTTTTGTGCTCCGGATGTCGCCTGTCACTTGAAGTGACGGAGGTGGGTGCATTCTTCGCGATGAACTCGTGTGGTGTGGGTTACAACTTAACTATGAAGTGTAGATGGATGCTCGTTTGGCCAGCAAACCTGAGAAAAACCACCATGGCTGCCAACCATGGTGGTTGCCGCCGTTATTTTCTTTTCTGCCACCCTTAACCACCGTGTATGGGTGGCTGGGTGTATGTGTCTTGTGTGAGTGAGAGAGTTTGTATGGGTTTTGTGGGTATGATGTTGTATGTACGATTTCTTTTGTGGGTATGAAGTGGTGGCTGCCGCCATCCGCCACCATTAGGTGGCTATGTGTGTGTGTTTATTTTTAGTGTGTGTGTTATTTGAGATGTTGCATTGTATGATGTAATCGGTAAAGGAATAATAATAAGAAAACTCAAACCACCACCGTAGGGTGGTGGCTGCCGCCTCCTGCCGCCACCAACCGCTGTGTTGGGTGGCGGTGTGCTTGTTGTGTTTGATTCGTTTGGGATGTTTGGACAAAGGGACTAAAACCCTAATGGGCCCAATGAAGCCCCAATGGACCTTAAAGCCCAAACATGTGACTAATGGGCCTAGTAAAACCCTAATGGGTCTAATAAACCCTAATTGGCCTAAGGAAGCCCTAATGGGCTTAAGGACGTGGTTTTGGGCCTATTGGGCTATGAATGGGTTAGAAACCCTCATTAGGGTTTAGAAAACCCTGATTTTGGATATATGGGCCTTGGACTTATCGGGACCCACATTTGGGCCATTGGAATGGAATTGTGAATTACTCCCACTCACACCATATGACTCACCTAGTGGAGTGGACTTAATGGATTAAGTCCTTAATGGGTTAAGTGAGAAACACTTAACCCTAATTGTCATTTTATGTGAAAGCCCTAATTTCACTTGGGCCTTGAGTTGGGCCTTTCCATTGGGCTTTGGTAATTGGACTATTAATGGGCCATCCAAGAATAATTATATGGACTAGAATATGTTGTTGGGCTTTAGGGTAAGGCCCATATGAAGGTCTGGGCCTAATTTGGAAAATTGGGCCATAGATGGGCCATATTTTAGGCCTTAAGGATTATATGATATTGGGCCTTGAGTTTGAATCAAGCTAAGATAGGGGTAAAGCAGTTTTTTACCCCAAGCATGGACTTATGATTTTTTATGTTGGAACCCAATTATTAATTGGTTGTTGTTTTGATATTGACAGTTCGGGAAGTTGTCATCCAGTAGCCAGGGTTTTGTCTGCGGGACTTCAGCAGTGCGAGGTGAGTCTCCTCACAGTTTGTATGGGTCTAAGGCACCAATGCCGGCCCATTTAGTTTATGTATGATAGGAAGACCCGAGGGTTTGCCCTAGGAATTATGCTTGAAAGACCAGGAGGCGGCTCCTAGCGCACAATATGTTATTATGTATGGTAGGAACACCCGGGGGTTATCCCTAGGCAATATGTATGAAAGACCAGGAGGTGGCTCCTGGCACACTGTATGCTATTATGTATGAAAGACCAGGAGGTGGCTCCTGGCACACTATATGCTTATTAGCTAAGTAGAGTAGTATGTATGCTAGTTGTCTTTGTGATGCTTGCATGGAAGACCAGGAGGTGGCTCTTGGCACTTGTTTGTGAGACCGAGGGGGTGGCCCCCGGCTTGGCAAAGGAAGACCACGTGGCGGCCCGTGGCATAATGGCAACGATATGGTTGGCACATAGCATCTTTACTGATTATGATATATGTATGGCTCATGGTTATGTATGACAGTATGCGAGTATGTGTTTGTATGCTAGACAATATCCGGTTGAAAGAGACCGAAGGGGTAGGCCAACACCCAGATATGCTAGGCAGTATGTTGATATGTATGGTATGTGTTTTTTGGGGAACTCACTAAGCTTCGTGCTTACGGTTTTCATTTTTGGTTTCAGGTACTTCGTTTTTAAAGGAAAGGGGCCGGCTCGATCGCAGCGCATCACACTATGTTTTCTGCACATGAGATCTTTGGGATTACACTCTGATATTATTTTATGATAACACATTGACTATTGATACTTTGTTTTTGACATTAGATGTTAATATGGATGTTTTTTCATACTTATGGTTTTATAATAACTTATTTAAAAATGAAATTTTTGGCCTCGAATTTTGGGATGTTACAAGTTGGTATCAGAGCTTTGGTTTGAGGGATTCGGGCACACTCTCGGGTGTGTTTGGACTCAAACTGAGGACTTGGTATGAAAATTTTCAAAAGAAAATCATTTTTATAAAATGGAATTTGAAAAATAATTTGGAAAGAGAAAAGACCTTTGAAAAGAACAAGGTGTATGATGCGTGCAATTAGCCGAGCTCAAGTAAGTTTTCCCCAAGATACCCATACATGTTATGATATGCTATGTTATGATATGATTTTGAGAACTAAATGCTAGATTAGGGCTGAGGATATAGGAGGATGCCTTATATGCCTATTGTATGTGCTTGTAGACCTGCATGATAGTACTGATCAGTCGGTGATAGGATAGCCTGTTTAGGTTATGCCTGATTGTATGAGCCTTTGAAATTACATGCTAGTGTAGATTCCTGATAAGAAGATAGAATGATTTGTTTGGGAATATGTTGGTTAGATTTCCATTGTCTGAATGCTAAGTCAGAGTGATAGATTTGACCCTATTGCGCAGCTCTTGTGAATATGCTAAGTCACATGTGGCTAATTATAAAGTGAATATGTTAAGTCACATGTGGCAAGGGCTGGATAATCTCAGAGTGATAGATTTGACCCTATTGCGCAGCTCTTTTCTGAGTCCAAATGTTCTAGGTTTGATTCTTTTACTTGAAGGATTATCTGATGTAACGCCCGTAGATCTGGGCTAGTCAATTTAGAGACAATGAGCATCAAAAATGAGTTTTTGATGGAAGATTATTTAGAAGGATTAATCTTAATCAAGATGTACTATATGTTACAAGGGTTCCATACATATAAAGAACGCCGAAATCTGAGTTATAACGAAGAAGTTATGACCCGTCGAAGTTTCGCGGCAAAACCGACACGGCACCGGGAGACGTAAATAGTGAATTTACGATGGAGGACTTTTTAGCCTTAGTGATCTAAATCAAAGTTGTAGTATACGTTAAACCAAGAACATACAAAAAAAAGAACGCCCAAATCTGACTTTGTATGAGAAAGTTATGAATTTTCTAAGATTTGGCTTAGCAGTACACGGCCCGAAACTCGAATTTTAGTTCGAGCGGTTTTTGGCTTACGCGACCTAAATGAGAGTTGAATATCTCATTAATAGGAACTCAACGGTAAAAAGACGGACGAAAACGGAGTCCGTATGAAGGAGTTACGAATTTTTCGCGGTCATTTAATAGTCTAATCTCCCCCTACTGTTAAATTTAAGATCGGTCGAGAATTAGCTGACGGAGTCTAAATGAAACTTGTAGATCTTGTTTTTAGCTACGCGTGGAAAAAAATAACGTCAAAACCGGAGCTCGTATGCGAGAGTTATGATTTTTCTAACTCAGGAGGGTGTTGTGCGAGTTTGGGTGACGTGGCGCGATCACAACCATTGCTTTCTCTCCAAGGAAAGCCATCAGAGGAGGACATGTGTCACTGACTCGGCGAGTCAATGTCATGACTCGGCGAGTCCATCAGAATTTGGCACTATAAATAGATGTGTCGGGTTCTCTCATTTCTCACACCTCTCCCCTTCAACTTTCTCTCTCTACACTCTCTCTCTCTCGCCTCCCTTAAGCCCCCTAAAGTCTAGGTAAACCCCCTAGCACCCGAAGGAAGCCTCGAGGCTCCCGAAGCCCCGAGAAAAGAGCCCTTCGGCTCAAAAACTCTGCTCCGGCAGAGCCCGGTTTTCGAGAAAACTCGCTGTAAGTGAGCTATGCCTACCCTAACTTTAGTATAGCATATGTTTCAATATAGTAATGTTATTAGGACCTTATAAGGAGTATTTAGGCTATTATTATGAGTTATATAGTGTCGTTATAATATCTTTTTAACCACTCACGGTACGGGGGTTCCGGTTTGGAGGGCCGCTTGGGTTGCTGGATTCAGAAGGGCTTATATGCCGAAATGATCCTGCCCTCCGGTGTTTCATGTCTGGCCTCGTCTGTATATAGCGGGTGAAAAGTATTGTGTCGCGCTTATATAATAGTAATAATAGCTAGGCTATTAATTAGTCGCGGTTAACGTTCGACTAAACTCTAGTGGTAATGGTACTAGGTTTCGTCAAGGGAAAATTGTTTTGAGATAACGAAGTGATGTCCGAGTACCGAGTCACCACCTTTTCAGGTGAGTGCATAGTTACTTTCATCTTACACATAGATATGAAGTATTTTATATAAATTACATGCTATGTGTGCATATTATCTGTATACTTGCTGTCTATGCTGGATGAATAATTTCATACAAGTTTTAAATGATTTAAACTGTATATGTATTTTATATCTACAAAATATGTTGGGTAAAACATGGGTAGATGAAATATGAGTTGGATGATGAGATGAGAGGTGGTATAGACCATGAGATAAGGGTGAGAGGTGAACAATGAGAGAAGCCTAAACCCTGGCGACTATGCAGACTTAGTGCCTAAACCTTGGCGATCATGCAGACTTGGTGCCTAAACCCTGGCGACTATGTAGACTTAGTGCCTAAACCTTGGTGATCATGCAGACTTGGTGCCTAAACCCTGGCGACTATGCAGACTTAGTGCCTAAACCTTGGCGATCATGCAGACTTGGTGCCTAAACCTTGGCGATCATGCAGACTTGGTGCCTAAACCCTGGCGATCATGCAGACTTGGTGCCTAAACTCGGGCGACTATGCAGACTTAGTGCCCGTTGTATAAACCGTGGCAACGATGGACTTCGTGCCGATTCCTTAGGATAATCCTTAGGAATGATTTAACGAGGAGTAACCGATTCTTAGGGTAGATCCTTAAGAGTAGGGAAGATAATGGGAATGGGTAATTGGGTTGATTGTTTGATTGTCTAAACATAATAATTATATTATTGTGGGTTGAAAGCC